ATTTGCCCTTACCTGCGCTTTTGTGACCACATGGCTGACATCGTGCACGACTGTTGAGGCCCTGTAGTCGTAGTCATACCGAGATCCCGGCTTGTAGTTCACCAGACTTGTAGCCGACGCGGTACAGAGGACGGCCGTGAGCAGCCACGGCCACAGCGGGCCCGGACCCGGGCGTACCGCCGCCATTTGTGTATTGATGTCCTTAAGGGCGCGTATGTGACGCAACAACTCCGCGCAAAGGTGTGCCCTTCCGGGGTGTGTATGAGGTGTCATAAAAGGGCCAGACCACTTGCCTCAAGCGGGGAGGAAAGAGGCTTGTGGCATTTTCATGGCCACTTTTGCTTCTCCCCTTGGAATGGTATTACCGATGTCCACATCGTAACGGAACATTATTGTATCTGCCGGCCTGAACAAAGTTGCATGCGCACATGCACAGTGCAACTGACCCGGCCTAGAGAAGCAGGAAGTACAGACTAGATCTCTGACTCATACAGGAAACGGATGATACCAAAAGTGCTTATTGATGACCCGTTTAATCGTTGTTTACACCCCGTCTCTTTGATCGGCCGAGCTCGAAATGACATTTACGGCAGTGATTTGCTAGGTGTTTTGGTCTACGCTCGCTGTTACGCACAACCTGCTCTTAGCATTAACGTCTTATCGCCGGCGACTTCTTTTGTTGTCACAGAGTTCGTTATTTAATTACCAGGTTTCCTGTGGGTCACTCGCACCGCGCCCTGCTACATGTATGTCATATACGTTAACATCACAGCAAACCTGATTCCGTACTTCGTTCCTGATTGTTCCCGGGTCCACACACTTAAACAAACACTCCCTATTCTGTTCTGATCCTTCATGTTCCGGTGCATTATAATTGTACTATGTGGACTTCATCGGATTTACAATAATGTACACACAGTACATTCATCAAATATTTACGTAACTTTATTACCATAACACAATACGGTAGCATTAAGTTCAATCTTATTCTTCTTCTTCTTTTCAACCTTATTACACATGTGTTAAAGTGTTATACAGTCGTTATATAATCTTACACGAAAACTGTGACTCATGCTTTGTTAAACTGTTGGCATTTGAAATTTTTTATTCCTGTTATCTTAACTTTTTATTTGTTCCATCAAGTGATATACATGTATGTTATCTTTGCTTTGATCAATATAAGGTAGGTGTACCTACAAGGAAGGTTGCTATGGCGGATCACCCCTCCGTTAGAAATGAACCAAAGGTATGACCAATGTTTACCCTTATTCTTATCAGTAAAACCTAAACACTGGGAATGGTACGACCTATGTCCACATCGTATCGGACAATGATTATTAACAGCATGACTAATAGCAGCCACTTGAGCGGTACTGTAACCTTAGGTCTACGGCAAGCTGAAATCACTATCTAGATCTCTGACTCACCCAGGGTAGTGGAGATAACAAACTTTCTTACTAATGTGAACGAAGGTTGTGTAAAAAATGTTCCTGTTTAGAACTGTTGTGTCTTTGGGGATTCTTGTCTTGCTTTGTACGGACGTGACGTCGTGGCGACGGAGACGTCGGCGGCGGTGCGACTGGCACTGGAACGCCTGGGGAGCCTGCAGCGCGCCCTGCGGGAACGCGGGCACACAGACCCGCACGGCTGGCGGCTGTGGGACGCCGGCACCGCAGACTCGCGCGTGTAACCGGTTCTGTAACAACGGCGCGACGCCGCTCTCACACTCCTGCTCCTGTCCGGATGAGTTCTGGGATACCCTCTGTGATAAGTCTCTGTGTTGACATACAGTTTTTTATTTTATTTTTTTATTCCAACATCTAATCACAAGACATGGTGACGGCACAATCAAGTTTTTCCAACTTATATTAATGCCACCACCAACACAAGGGACAATACAATACTCATTTTCACCTGAGAGAAGTGAGGAAAGTCGTGCAAAGCGCATTTCCCAAGGGCATAAGATCGGTGGCATGTCAGGAAGCGAACCCGGGACCTCTTAATTCCGAGTCGAGCACTCTGCCGCTACGCCACACGACCTCACAGCTGTATACTGAACGACGCTATTACTATAGGCTTAATGCTGAGGTCACAATTCAAACACAAGGCCCAGCCGGGCAGTTTTTGGGACCGAAAAGTACGATACCAAAGACAACAAAATACAGAAGAGCTTTTAATAATAATTATGGGCACTATTTCTGTATATTCTTGATATAAATTGGTAATTTTTCGTTCAAACATACAGCCTGGCCGGGACCCTGTTTGGAAATATGACCTAAGCATAAGTGTTGTCATGCAGTTCTCTGTTGGATTAAAGTAGTATTTCATCATTTATGCCTGTAACTTTCCATAGCTTGGTCGCATCACGACAAAACTTCACACCTCAGCTTTTAGTAGTACTTTAAACAGGTTGAATACAGGTCACACAATTTTTTGTTAAACTAAGGCGTTTCTTCCATTGGTCTACTCGCAGGAGGTAGCATTACCATAAAGATGAGAACCTACCCCATACCAATAATTTTTTAGCCTGGTTACCAAACCTATTATAGTTCCCGAGTCCTACATCCTCTCCGCAAATAGGATGTAGGACTCGGGAGCTATAGTAGGTTTGG